CATGCAGGGAGCACAAGGGCCTCCGGCACTAGGGGAGCGGGCCCTGCAGAGCGGGCCCCACGCAGGGCTGGTGGGAGCCAGGCCAAGGCCTGGGAGGAGCGAAGGGTTTGGGGGATCAGAGTCTGTCGCAGCACCCCAAGCCTGTGGAAGCAGCTGCCCGGAGCTGCCTCCTCGCAGGAGCTGGGCTCTGGCTCCAGACAGCACCTCCCAGGGAGGGCTGAGGGCCTACTGCCGCGGCCAAAGTCCCCTGCTCACGTGGTCCCCACCTGGCTGTTGATGGCAGCTGCATGCGCTGACGTCCCAGTGCCCACGGACCCAGCAGGCCCACTGCAGCATGCCTGCACCCACCACTACCCTGCCCCCCGCCATCCCTCTGCACCCAACACCGGGTCCCAGCCCAAAGCCCTAGCCACAAGGCCAGGCTGCACCCCTGGCATCCTGGGGAACCTTTGGCTGACGTCAGACACACGCACTTCCTGCAGCCCCAGAAACACGCCAGCTGCAAACTGCGTCCCCAGCCCCGTCTCTGCAGCTCCCGGGCCGAGTTTGCTGCAGGATAAATCCCAATCAGTGTACAGAAAACCACTGTGCTGGCCAAGCCAGAGCACGGCTGGCCGGTGGCAGGGAGCAGGGACCTGGCAGGGTGCCCTGCTCCTACCCTGGGCCGACACAGAACGTTCTCTGACTGCAGCCGGAGGGAACAGAGAACAACAGGATGGGGAGGCTGGGCCTTAAAAACAAGCCGAGCGGAGAGGGAAATCGGATCCGCCTGGGGCATGCAAGTAGAGGCAGTTTCGGTGGGTCTCTGCCTGCCTGCAGCTCGTATTAACCAGATAATACAAACACCCGGACACAGCTCAAGCCAAGCCCTTCGATTGTTTCACCACCAGATCCCAGCGCGCTTTGCAGAGCCAGTTTCATCCACCCCATTGCACAGAGGGGGAAGCCCTCGGATACTCCGGCAAGCAGTGCGGTACCCAGACCTACACAGAAGAGAACTGCACCGAGAGCAAAGGTGAGGCCAACACAGGAGGCTTTTTGAGTCCCTCAGTTCTGAGGGTCACACCTCAAGACACCTGGAAGAGGAGCACCTCTGAAAATCAGGCCCCTTTCAGCTGTCTCAAGTTGCACCCCCACAATCAGCACCCTCTTTCTGTCACCATATCTTGCCGTGACCGTCTGTGAGCTGTCACCAAACTAGGTCAGCGGGTGGCAGCAACCGACCACAGTTCCATCCCGGTGAAATGCCCTACCCGGGCACCCAGCCCCCCCACTGCAGAGGATGGCGCTGTCGGGGTGGGGGTCGGGACCGACACACGGAGATGCGTGGCAAACTAACAATACATGGAAACAACAGGAGGTTTAAACTGGAACACGGCCTGGAGCCTTCGCCGTTTAATAGACCTGGGGCTTGGAGACTCAGGGACGCACAGATCCCAAGGTGAGGAGGGACCGGCATGATCAGCTAGTCTGACCTCCTGCACATCGCAGGGCACAGAACCTCCCCAGCCCACACCTGGAACCGCCCTCAAATAATTCCCGTTGGAACCAGAGCAGATCTTTTAGGAAAACAGACAGTGTGGATTTTAAAATGGCCAGCGATGGAAAACCCACCATGATGCTTTGCGAATTGCCCCGATGGCTACGCTCCCAGTACAAGATGCATGTCTTATGTCCAGGCCAGCTCTATCCGGCTACACCTGACAGCCATGCGACCTCGCAATACCATTGTCTGCGAGAGGGGAAAGCCCATTAGCAAAGGTTTGTTCCCCGGGTTGGTACTCGCAGACTGTGATCAAGTCACCCCTTAGCCACAGGAAGGAGGCTTGTCGTGCTCAGGGCAGGGGGAGCGTTCCGAAAGCTCCCATCGGCAGGAGCCACCTGATCACCTGAGAGTCTCAGCTTGGACCTTTGTAGCCCAGAGAAAAACTTAAACACGTGGCCCCTGGAGGCTCCCAGACCAGGAGCCAAATGAAAAGGATCTTGTGATTTTTAAGTTAACCTCGTGATTTGTGGGGGGTGACTCCGATTTTGGAAAGCTTGGGGATGGCGGTACTCTGTGTCTGCCCAGCGCCTAGCGCAACAGCGGCCCGGCTCAGGAAAGCAGAGGAAGAATGCTAACGAGAAGCATGGCTCATCAGCAGGGGCAGCCATCCCCGAGCTAAGATTTAGGGTGATCTCCCCCTATGCCCACTACAGCCCGGCATACCAGTGGGGCTGTCTGCAGGGCCGGGGATGGCCAGCGTGAGCCCCTTGGGACCTGCTGTTAGCTCCTATCCTTGCAACCTCCTTATTCACATGACCCAAAACGCTACAGCCTTCAGCTAGGGCCACTCCCTACCGCCTAGGACCTCACAGCCTCAGTTTCCCTGAGGGCAGCAGTACTTACCCCAATGGGGGAGGGGTTGATTAGTCAATGTCTCTAAGGCACTTTCAGAATAAAAGCACCATGTAAGGGCTACATGTGATTAACTTATTGTTATAATTGCTGCAGTAGGGTTACTATGGAGTCTGGCTCGATCACCGTATTTAGCTACCTTATCTATCCATCCCATATACTTCCCTCTGTCTATCCATCCAGCCCTATACACACCCCCATCTATCTATCCATCCATCCATAACCCCATACGCACCCCTCTATCTATTCCTTTTCACACCCCTCTATCTGTCCATCCATCCATAACCCCATACGCACCCATCTATCCCCATATACTCCCCTCCGTCTATGTATCCATCCATCCACCTCCATATACACACATCTACGTATCTATCCCCATTCACACCCTTTGTCTATCCATCTATCCATTGATCTCCATACACACCCAGCTATCTATCCGTCCACCCAGAATCCCATACGCACCCATTGATCCCCATATACACCCCTCTGTCTATGTATCCATCCATCCATCCATCTCCATATACACCCCTCTACCTATCTATCCCCATGCACACCCTTTGTCTATCCACTGATCTCCATACACACGCCTCTATCTATCCCCCCACACCCATCCACACACCCTCTTATCCCTCCAGCATAGGTCTAGGGTTCCCATCCCAGCTGTCTCTCAGGCCCAGAGCCTCCAAGGTATTTAGGGGCCTCCCCAGCCTGGGGGCTCTGGGCGGATGCCCGCGGAACTCCCACTGGGATCAAGGGAGGGGGTTTGCGCTTCAGGTCACAAGCCGAGCCGCCAGCCTGCTGTGCACGCCGGGCCCGCTAGGCGGCGGCCTTGCCCGCCGCGAGCGGCCTCCGCCGGCTGGTTTGGCAGCTGGTCTGCCCGGCGCTGCTGGGCGCCTCGCGGCAGCTACCGGCCGGGTTTGCAACGACAACACACGACCGCAGGGTGCAAAGCAGCCACGCCCGCGCGCCCCGGGCAGGAAGGGTCAGAGGGGGGAGAAACTCGGCCCCCTGCAGCCTGAAGCCCAGGTCCTGAGCACCGCCCCCTGCAATGCAGAAATGTCATTCATTGCACCCCCCTCGGCGCTGAGCTGGGGGCGCTCCCCGGAGCCACGTGACGCGCCCCCCTGCCCTGTGCCTGCGTCTCCAGAGAGACCAGCCGGGCAGCAAGCTGCCAGTTGCACTTTCTGTTTTTTTGCAAATCCACCTGGGGCTAAATCTCCCCCGAAACGTGAGCCTCGAGCAAGCCTATTGCAACACGCCCTGCTTTGCACCGGGGACCTTTTACCTCTGCAAAAGTTCAGGCTCCAAGCTCGTCCTCCCACGTGCTTTGCAGAGCGGGGCGTTATGCGAACCTTGCAGCTCCCCCCCCCCGCCCCCCATTCAAATACAAACTGAAGGCCAGCCCAGCAGCGCTCCCTGCAAGTCCCCTGGCAGCTCCGCTGCTCGGGAAAGTACACGGTGTCTTGTTTGCGTTCCCAGGTTTGTGAGGGACCCGGAGATTTGGAGGTTGGTTAATTCTCGGCCTGAAATCAATCTTGCCACCCAGGCAGCTCCCATCGTGAGCGCGAGCCTGAAGCGAGTATTGTCTGCAGCCAGCAGCGTGTGTACCCCAGTAAAGACTGTACGCCTCCCCCCCACCACACACCCCCGGGGTCTAAGGAGCGTTGCAGAAGAAGAAAAGAGAGGACCCCTAGAAGGTCCAAGCCAAGGAAACATGATGCACGCTGCAGGGGTTGTTGTGAAACAAGTCACCAAGTTTTTGCAAGCTGCAGAAACCATGACTGGCTCTAAAACCTCATGATTAACTCACCCTTTCCCCTCCGCCGCCTACACAACACTATAGACTTGGTGCTCTTCGTTTTCTGCCTGCGAGGTGGAATGGGTATCGCCCTTATCAAATGGGGGTGCGGGGAGGCAACGTACCCCTGCATAGCAGGGAATTCACCAGACAAGTTTGCTTTTTGCAGCTCCAGAGCTCAGTCCTGGGAATATAGACACCTCCTCCCCTCCCACCCCCCAGCATCTCGGAATTTGCTCCGGAGTGGAAGAGAATACTTGTTTTCCCTTTGCATAATGTCCCTGCTTTTCCTTTGCCAAATGCATCCTCGCCTGGACGTGGCTTTTTGGTCCCTGAACAGACTCAGCCCGGGTCAGGGTGGCCGGGGGCTTCCTGGGAAAGCGGCGCGGGGGGGGGATTTCCAGGGGCATGCATTTCCATGTAAACCCTTGGGATAGTTATCTCCTCTGAACATAGCACGGCTTCCAGCCCTGCCCCCACGGCTGCAAGCCCAGGGCTCTGTGGAAATCCCACGCCTCTGCCCAGCACAGGAACAAAACCTGCTGAGAAATGTCTATCGAAACTCTCGCTCGTGTGCTGTGTGTTTTGTGTGTGTTTTTTTAACCAAATCCCTCCCTTGGAAAACTTCCCCCGCCCCACGTGGGGCTACTCGCTATTTTCCCCCAGCGGGAGAACCAATCAGCTGGCACCGGGTTTTTTTCCCTTTGTGGCCGAGGAACCAATAGGAAAGGAGACGCCCCGCCCCTTCTGCAAGGCTATAAAAGGCGCCCGCAGCGGCCGCTGTCCCTGAGACTGTTTGGAGGAGCCGGGGTGTTGGAATCGGAGTGGCGCCGGATTGACCCGCAGCTGGAGCGTCTGACGTCGCGGGGAGATTGCTGCCGGGAGGAGCGAGCCTTGTTTCTCCAGTGGATTATTGCACGGCTCCCGCCGGCCCTCTGCGCCGCTGCTGAGGCCCTTGGGCTGAGGGTTGCTGCTTCTCCCCCCCCCCCGTCTGCTCCTGACTCCAAGCCGCTGTGGATTATAATTGCAACATGACCCTGGAAGAGCTGGTGGCTTGCGACAACGCTGCCCAAAAGTAAGTGTCCCCCTCCTTGGCGGCGCTGCAGGAGCATGCGGCGGTCCTGGCGCTCCCCGCTGGCCCTGCGCCGGCCGGGCTTTCCAAAGCGGCTCCGCATTAACGCCGCCCCCCCTCTCTTGTGCCCTCTCCCAAAGGATGCAGACCGTCAGCGGAGCGGTGGAGCAGCTGCTGGTGGCGGCTCAGAGGCAGGACTGCCTGACCGTCGGCGTCTATGAGTCGGCCAAGCTCATGAATGTGTAAGTCGCGCTGGCCGTGGCGTGTGCAGGGTCTGATCAGCTGATGGGGCGGGGGGGTGCTCAGCTCACTTAGCTCTGCTGGAGCTGGGGGGGTGATGGGGAGCTGGGGGTGGCAGATGCAAGAGAGACGCACTCCGGCATTGGCTGTTTGCTCAGGAGCAGCTGCGGGGGGGGGGGGGGGGTAGGGCTGAGACTCATTTCCTTAGATGGAGAGTCGATTTGTGGGGCCTGTCTTCCCCCCTGATCCTGACCGGTCTGCTTCCTCCCCGTGCCCTTCAGGGATCCCGACAGCGTGGTGCTTTGCCTCCTTGCCATTGATGAAGAAGATGAGGGTGACATCGCCTTGCAAATCCACTTCACCCTCATCCAGGCTTTCTGTTGCGACAACGACATCAACATCCTGCGGGTGTCCGGCATGCAGCGGCTGGCCAAGGTCCTCGGGGAGAGTTTGGAGGACAACAGCGAACCCCGGGACCTGCACTGCATCCTAGTGACGGTAAGTCCCCTGTGGTGCTGGGTGCCAGGGGTTGGGGAGGGTGTCCATCACCTGGGAGTCAATCCCATCCCTGTAGAGGGGAGCCTGTATTGTTCAGTGGTGCTGATGCAGGGCCATGTGACCTGGGGCTGAGCCAAGGTGCTTCAGTGATGTGTATGTTACCGAACAGCCGTGGTGTGGGTCACCGCTCAAGTATGTCTCCTGAATGGGCGGGGGTGACGTCCAAGAGGCTTGCGTTTTGTTGTTGCTAACGGTTGGATCTGTGTGTCCTCTCCCACCAGAATCCCCACACCGATTCCTGGAAGAGCCAAGGGTTGGAGGAAGTAGCCAGTTACTGTGAAGAAAGTCGCTGTAACAACCAGTGGGTCCCCTATGTCTCGCTGCTGGAGCGTTGAGCCGGGCACTGCCTTCTCGTTTTGTGCTGAATTCATGTTTTTTAACAAAAAAACGACAACATTTTAAAAAAATAAAAAACCACCCCATCAAAATAAAAGCTAAGGAGTAACGGAGAGGAGAGAGCCTGGGCCGGCAGCGACAGTGTGCGTGGAAAGGGAGGAGCGCCAGGGGACTGGCGATGGCAAAGGGGCTGTGACAGCAAAGGGGCTGTGACAGCGTGGAGACCGTTAAAGGAGGAGCAGGCGGTCAGGAGACATGCTTGGAGGAATGGCTGAGTCAAGGCGACTGACTCCTCGAATGTGAAGAGTGCTCGAATCCTGTACGCAAGGCACGACGTGTTTCTCTGACGTGTTTCTCTGTCTGCGTGGGGTGTGGATGCCACTGATCCATGGCAAAAGACTGGATTTCCCTCCGCTCCCTTTCTCTGCAGCGGGAGGGGGCATGACCACATTTTGCTAAGGACTTACTGTGGCAGGGTGGGGAAGAGACTGGATTTTTATTCCATTTTTTGCATCTGCTTTGTGTTGTGGATGGAAGATGCGAGGACTGAAAAGGACAGTTGCAAATGAACTCTTTATTTTTTAATGGACAGAATGTCTTATATTTATAAGCTCAAGATTGCAATTTTTTTTCTTTGCACTCAAGCCACTAAGTGATTCTATATATTCTTGTACAATGAACTTGCAATAAATTTCTGAACGCTAAATATCGCTTCCTCTTGCATCCTTTTTTATTTTTTTTCCCCGTCAAGCTGTGACTCTTCCTGGTCCCTGCATGTTGCATCACGGCATGTCCTGTACTCTGTGAGCGGCTCAGGATGTAGCTGTGTTCTTAAACCAGCTTCCAGGAGGCAGCCCTGTTCTCGCTCTTTGCAAAACACTGTGGCTTTCTGGCTCCATGGCGCCACCACTTCTGTAAATTGACAAAGAGGCTTAAACAAGCAGCAATTAAGGGCTGGCCTGTTGCAAAACGCCATGTGAGCTGCTGGCTGGTGCAGCCTCCTGCCTACTTGCAGCTAAACAGGATTTTGTCTGGTTTCGGGGTGTGGAGGAAGGAGTGTGGGCCAAGTTTGGAGAGTGGGGGGCTAAAGAGAAGTGCTAATTAGGTCCTTAAATTGACTTGCTCAAAGCCCCCCCCTTCAGGATCATGGATAATCAGTGTGTAGGTTTGATTAGACTTACTGAAGTGCATAAAGTTTTTTTTTCCTGGCATCTCCCAGCCCCTCCCTCTCAATGGTGGTGCCCCCCACAAGGCTGAGCTGAAAGCACCCCTTGTTGGGTGTGCGTTTCCTGGGCCTAGCTGCTCCTGGGCAGCGTTCGCCAGCACAGCTGCTGCTGCAGACCCATTTCCACCTACAAGTTCTTTTGGCAGGAGCCTGGTTCTGCCCTGACTCCGAGAAGCAGGGAGCACCTAGGAACAAGCCCCTGACTCATGCTAGCCCCTTTCTGTTGAGCCTATCAGGGCGGCTTACCCTGCGCATAGCACTATGGGGGCGAGTGCTGGCTTAGCACAGGCTAGCTGGGGTGTGGCAGCTGGGCCCTCATGGGGCAGGGTTAGATGGGGCCCCAAGTGTCAGGGGGGGCAGGGTTGGTTCTAGGGCAAGACCATTCCCCTGCGTCCAACCCACTTCCCCAACCCCCCTGGGGCATCCAGAGTCCTTACGGCTGAGGCTTTCCTAGGCTGGGATCGAAGCGTATTTTCCCCTCCAATCTGCATGCATCTCTTCCTCCTCTGAGCCTTGTGGGCAGAAAAGCCCCCCCATGGCCCTGCTGCAGGGTGGGGGCATCAGCTGTTCTGTGCTAAACCAGCCTCTGCCTGTGTAGTATAAACGGGGAACTAGACATAGGGGGTTTTTTTTAGATGCCAGGTATTTAAAAGGACATGAGCCAAAATTGTGGGCTACAGCCAGCAATGACTGGCTGGCAAAAGTAGCCTTTAATTCAAACCAGCCATGCACACAGGCTCAGCTAATGGGAGATCTTGCCTAACATCACCGGCTGCGTCAGTGTAACGGGGGGGGCATCCCACCCATTCAAGATCACTCTACTGCTTTAAATCTAGTCCACTGCTGGATTGCCAGTGTCCCCATTTTACAGAGCGAGAAGGGGGGAAACTGAGGCGCAGAAAGGGGCTTGCCCAAGTCGCACAGCAAGACTGTGGCAAGTGGAGCCTTGGTCTCCTGAGCCTCACGCTAGCTCCTCCTGACTGGGTGAGGTAATTGGTCAGGAGTGACCTGCCCCATGGTTTGGGGGCTTGTTTGACCCAGGGGTTAATGGGGTGGAGGAGACACGAGGGTTGGCTGCCCGGTGGCATCTGCCTTGCAGCTAATCCCCTTGGCTGCCAGTCAGCGGCTTTGCACTTGCAAGCACTGCTGGGGCTGCAGAAAATACGCAAGTATGGAGAGGAGGGCCTGATTCTTCCCATGGGGGTAGGGAGCCCATGCCTTGGACACTCCACACCTGGTGGAAGGTGCAGAGCCCCTGCTGCTGAGAGCTGCTTTCAATTCCCAAGTCCTATCTCCTATTGCGGTGAAGCCGACCCGCGCAGAGCTCTTGCTTTCAATTCTGGAGGGTGACCTGCATCCCGAAAGCGAAATAGAGGCTGAACAGCTGATTTCCTGTGGTCAGGGCTCCCCAAGAGCCCTGCGGCAGGGAGTCAGGTGCCGGCTGTGGGCTTGATGGGAAATCCTGTTGTTTCTGCAGGGAGCAAAGCGTCTGTGGAGACCTAAGACAAGAGGAGGGAAGCCGACATGAGAGAATCTAATGGAGTCAGGGTTCTTCTGCACAAATAATACGCTCCCTGCAGCTCTTCCCCCCCCCCCCCCCTGCAACCTGCAAGATTTGCAACCCCCCATCCTTGCAGCTTTGTGCCCGAGCTTGAAAATCTGGAAATGCAGCTGAGTGGGAACTACAAGAAACAAACATGAAACTGATGAATCTCCCCAAACTGGAAGAATGTAAATAAATAATATGGAAGAAGGAGGGGGCTGTTTGGGGAAAAAGGGCAGGTGTATAAATTGCACATGCAGATAGCCAGGGCGGGGGGGGGGGGGGTCATTGCACACACACACAGCAGTGGCAAGTGTCCATGATGCACCTGTTTGCGGCCAGAGGGGGGGCCCATCCTGTATGTGTGTGTCCCTGTGTGTGCTGGCACATGCATGTTCCTGTGGGCACATGTGTGGGTGGGTGTCCATGGGGGTGGGCTCACCTTGTGTGTCATTGGCCTTCAGTCTCCACTGCCCCTGCACTCCTGTTACTAAGGCCCCATTCTGTTCTCCCAGCTCCACCCCCTCCCCTGGGGGCTGGGAGGATTGGGAATGGGAGATGGGGCCTTGCCCCCCTCTTAGCCTGCTGGTTAGAATCCAGCCAGAGGGTGACCTCCCAAGCTGTCACCAACCCCCCACCAGAGAGCTGCCCATGGTCCTGGCTGGGCAGCCCCGGCTCGTGGGTGTGGAGAATGAGGGGGTGGCATGATGGGCGCTGCTGGGGATTTCGCTGCCATGTAGGAAGCTGCCCTTTGAGCACACCCCCTCCCCCCTTCCCCAGGCTGCGGGGGCGGGGGGGTTCTTTAGCCTTGCCAGGAGCAGGCTGCCTCAGCCTCCCTGGCTAGGGAACCCCCCGCGCTCCTGGCAGACCTACTGTCTGCTGGGCAGCCACATGCTCACCCCCTCCACGCCCACGCTCTGTGCTGGGGGGGGGCTTCTCACAGCCACACGGGCTCAACAGAAATCCCCTGAGCCGCCTCCAGCTGGAGGGACTCGGAGCCCAGTGTCTCCGTGATGAAGTCACCACAACCACCAACCACACAGGAGGCAGCTGAGCAGTGAGTGATGCTCACAACCCAGAGGGACAGAGCGGAGGCCGGGGGCTGACACCCAGGCTCCATCTGATCCCCAGAGGCCAAGCGAGGGAGGGACAGAGGAGAGGGGGATTCGGCACCCCCCTTACGAGAGACACGTCCCCGCAGCCTTATGCCCGCCCTAGGCACCTGACCCAAAACCCATCACGGCAGCCGACAGGAATCTTTCCACCCGGGATCAGGCCCCCTAAGGGAAGCGGCCGCTCAGGAGCTGCGAATCCTCCAGCCCTGCCCGGAGTCTTGTTAGAAACAGGGCGGGGAGCTGTGTTGTGGGGTGGGGAGCTGAGCTCTGGAGCCAGAGCCCCTCCCCCCTGCCTTGGCCCTACGGCGGGGCGTGGGGGGTGTGTGGGTGCTGGCATGCAGGGCTGAGATCCACCAGCACCGAGCAGGCTATGAGGGATATCTGACCCATCATTGCCCGTGCCACACCCATTCTGGGCCTAAAGAGAGGATTTGGGGGGAGGGGGAAGTATTTTCTAGTGGTCAGAGCAGGGGCCTGGGAGTCAGGAATCCTGGGTTCCAGGCTCAGCTCTGCCACTGACTCACTGTGTAACCTTTGGGGACATCCCAGCCCTGCTCTGTGCCTCAGTTTCCCCATATCTGACATGGGAGTGATAACCCTACCTAACCCATACACCCTCCCTTCTTGCTGGGGAAGGAGCAAAAGCTGCTCGCTGCTTGGAGAGCCTCAGGCGCAAGGCGCTGGCAGCCCGGGCAGTGTAGCTATTTAATGACTCACCCACCAGGGCTGCCGGTTTCCCAGAACAAACTCCATGGCCAAGGCCGGGCTGGAAGCATTCAGGAAGGGGGAAGAGCTGGGGATTCCCCTGGGAGAACGCAACAGCCATGAAGCATTCTGCGTCTGGCCTGCCAGCCGCTGCCGAACAGGTGGAAAGGGCTATGCAAATAAAGCCAGGTGGCCAAACAAGCCAATGAGGAAGTGACGCAGGTGATTCCAGCTTAGCTCTCACCCTGGAGGCCCTTCTGGGTTCCAGCCCCACTCTTTCTGTTCAGACCTTAAATCCTCACTCAGACGTGTAACTAGGTTTGGTGGGTCTCAGCCTATCCCCCCTGGTGGACACATGCCCACAGCAACTGGCCTGATTAGCCAGCTCCCCCCAGGGACTATCCTGGGAGCAGGGGTGGGTGCTGTGGGTCAGGAGTGTGGTGCAGTGGGGAGCCCGGGACTGGACAATCCCAGGGTGGGGTGGGAAGCCCAGGGTGAGGCCTAGGATAGCAGCTCAGAAGCTAGGTCTCTGGGGAGGCCCAGTGGCCCCACAGCCAGCAAATCTGATAGTGCTGCTCACGCACGCTCCTAGCCCTGCTAAAGGAAGGGTCATCTCCTATTCATGGGGTGTCCTTGCCCCTGGGACGCCACTCTCCTTTGGAGCAGGGCACAGGGCGGCCGGCTCGTCACATACCACCTCAGAGAGCCCTGGTGGACTGAGATGGGGGGGCGAGAGCAGGCGGTAGTGTGCAGAGGCACGAGCCTAGGCGTGCACACATTTTCACGTGCACCTCCACCTGCCGTCTCACCTTGCACATGCACAGAACATACATGTGCATCCCCAGTTTGTGCACAAGCCTCAAGGTCTTGCACACCTGTGCAGGTTGCATGCACGAGTGTGTGTGTGTGTAGGCTTCTGCCCATGCCCCTGAGGCTGTCCCCTCCTGCAGGGGATGGCAGCGAACAAATGCCGCTGGCATTTCCGGGGGGTAGGGAGATCGGCAGCTTGGTTGACATGAGTTTGGTTGGGTCTCAGCCCAAGTCCGAGCAGCCATGTCATTGAGCCTTGTCACCACTGTGGCCCCCGTCATTGGCAGCCTTGGCAGAGACCCTGAGGA